GTGCGAGCGAGAGAGAACGCAAGGGGCACGAAACAGAGTATGTTCTTTTCTATGTGCATCTTTACCCCCACTCCTTAAATAAAGGCAAACGCTCGGTCTAGATATACTATGTCTATGCATAAGACCGTCTGGACCAATGAGCATCAAAATAAAATCGCCATATTGATTTACATAGCATGTTCATTGGTCCAAACGGTCTTATGCTATGCATATGCAGCTATGCCAATTTGTGTGTGATAGGCTTAATACATGGAGGAAACCCGTTATAAAGCCTATAGCCTATCACACACAAATTGGCATAACTGCATATGCATAGCATAAGACCGTCTGGACCAATGAGCATCGAAATAAAATCGTTATATTGATTTACATAGCATGCTCATTGGTCCAGACGGTCTTATACTATGCATATGCAACTATGCCAATTTGTGTGTGATAGGCTTAAAGCGGGGAGCACACACTTTTGCATAAGCGCATAATCATAAGCATAAGGAAATTGATTGGTCCATTTCCTTATGCATAAGGAAATTGACCAATCAAATTCTTTATGCCTATGATTATGCGCTTATACAAAAGTGTGTGCTCCCCGCTTAAAGACCGAATCACATTAGCGGCTCGCGGCCGCGATTGCAATTGCCTCAGCCAATCAGAAAGCACCAATTGCAAGTATGATCGGAGCGTAGCAAATTATTACCATTGAAATTAATGGCATAATTTTCCACTTTTTACGTTTGCACCCTAAGGGAAAAGTAAAGGCTGGTTTATGCAGGCCGTAACTGTTAATTTATGCCGGAACCGTTAAAGTTTAACACTAGGATTACAATGCTTTTGTTCATAATGGCATTATGAACAAAAGCATTGTAATCCTAGTGTTAAACTTTAACGGTTCCGGCATAAATTAACAGTTACGGCCTGCATAAACCAGCCTTTAAGCCATATAAGAAATTGATCAATCACAGTTGAATGTGAAAAGAATAATCGAATATGATTGGTTAATTTTTTACGGCTTTAAATTCACATTGTAGACACCGCTTAATACCTACCCAACCCTGTTCCCGAACGCAGTTCGGACATGCGGTATGCGGTTTATATGATTGTCAAATAAACGATTTATGTATGACAAATTTTAATAACGCGCCAGAGATGGATTTACAATACAAGTGTGTATTTTGTTTTTTTAAATGTTCTATATAAGATATGCATGATAAGTAAAGAAGTCATCCTAATTCTTTATGAAAAAGCTTTAATTATTTGCCTACATCTGGCAACTGTAAAAAATATTTCTCTAATTTTATAAAATAGAAAGATACCCTTTCTGGACTTATAATTTTTATCTTGTTTTTGAACAGTGTTATTATTTATTTAAACATATTTGCAGAACGATTCATCCTGTGAAATATTTACAAGATCATCTTGTGAGTATCTTATATATAACTAAAAATTCAACAATATTCAAAAATTTGCTATAAACAAGTGGCATTTTCAGGAACAAGGCAGTCGGCCGGACGGTAGAAAATTCTTATCGTTTAGGCCGGTAAGCATAAATGTTTCATCGATTATTCAAGCAGACAGTTCAGCGATATTTAAGTTGGGTGACACAAGTGCAGTTTGTGGTATTAAAGCTGTAAATATACCTCAGAATACTTTTTATATTATATAATTGAGTTTTATATATATGTGTTAATAAATTATTTTAGTTATATATATA